CAACAGTTGACCAACACAATCGTTAAAATAACGAGTATATGAAAATATAGAGAAAATAGAAATAATATGGATATTGTATTGTTGAATATTGCTTGTCTTTCTCCATGTATACATGGGGTCTATTAATGCATATTTTGGGTTAGGAGTCGTATAGAATATAAAACCTAGACTGTCTAGGAGTTATTGTCACATTAGGAATAATGAGACCGACGGAATGGCTAGACTAGTCACGAAATGCAGTCCGGCAGCGTTGCAGCGATATGTGTACTAAGGATGTTTTTTTTTTTTTTTTTTTTTAGTACTAAGGATGGGTTCTTATTTGAATATATACGTGTGTGTGTGTGTGTATATATATATATATATATATATATATAATCATGACCAAATGTGAACTAGGTTTCTCGTGATATGTGTAGACTAATTTGATCTATCAATTTAGGATGATCAACGGTTAAAAATTGACAAGGCCAATTTTATAAATATTGGTATAAAGGAATCAACTTAGCTAGGGATTCCATGCATTTACTTATTTAATGTAACAAAACTAATTAGATCAAATATGTTCTTTTTGCAAACTAGCACCAGAAACTCAATTGCACATGAGACACTGCCAACAAAAACGAAACAGATAAGCAATGAAGGCGAAGACAATGATAAATCTATCCAAAAGTGAATTAACAAAACTTTTCAACCAAAAGTAATATCTACTACTTAATGTCATACCAACTACAATAAGTATTTAGATAATTATTTTTTAAAAAGTACTAATTAAAAATTAATTTTAATGTCAACTATAATGAACATCTCGTATAGAATTTTGCATTGATGTACTTTAAATTACTAATTTATATAAGCATTGCGCATTAAATCAATCGCGATATGCGTATAAAACTAGTAATATTTATATTTGTACTAAGAATAGCCAGAGTGGAAAAGGGTGAAGGCACATACAATTTGGCCTACTAGTTATGGTGACTTCGTTGATTGATGACCCTTTAAATCTTTGACTAGGAAGCATGAATTACTCGTTACCATTTTCACACCAATAAAATGTGATAGTAGAGAAAATAATGTGTGACATACCATCTTCATCCTTCGATCTTACAGTTACATAAGTAATTTGTTTACCAATTATTTCAAATTACTAAGTTCAATCATACATGTATATATAATTAAACATTACTTTAAAAACTACTATTATATATAGTTTCAATTAAGAACACTAATTTAACTTTTAACAACATACATTTGTATTAATTACTGTATATAAAATGTAGCAGTATAATAAAATTATATTGTTATGACTCAAAAGAGGTGATCGAGTGAGTATAGTAAAATATGATTCTCGCACTTGAATATCACGAGTTTGATTATTTTCAATACCCTCCCAGAGTGTGAAACTTATTACATAGAATTTTTCAAGCTATTACACACCCTCAACCCAAAAATTATATTGTTACTTTTCCATCATTATTTTATGATGACAATATGGTTATTTATGTCCAACACGGCATATAATTAAGATTGTACAAATTGTCAAGAAAACGAAAAAAAGGAGGCATGCTTGTTGGTGTGTTCCATGGAAAAGGTAGTTGAGGAAGGCAGGCAGGCAGGCTGCACCATTTTAGAATGGAATATAATCCTTATCCTATCCATTTTATATTTGGTAGACTTTTATTGATTGTTCCTTTTATTTTTAAATTCTTTTTTGACCAACTCTTATTAGCTAATCTTTTTTTTCTTTTTGTGAGTCATGATTTCTATGATATGATATTGATAAGTAAATGCTTCATTTAATAATAATAATAATAATAATAATAATAATAATAATATATTATTATTATTATTATTATTATTATTATTATTATTATTATTATTATGATGATGATATTTTATGTGTTATGCATAATTACATGCATGAATGATAGCATATTTATATCTCAGAAAAATTAAAATTATTGCATTCAAAAGTGTAGCTCTACCATAATATCATCTTATTGACAATTCACTAATATACCTTCTAATAATTATCCGATGGTATGCACTACTGTATTAGGTAAACTTTATTCTTGTGTTATAAGAGCATTCACATCTGTTGAATTTTTACACAGTTCTTGAGGGAGAATAATGGAAGAGAAAAAAAAAAGAAAAAAAAAAGAATCAGACAATTTAAAAAAAAAAAAAAAGGAAATTAAAGCAACGGTTTACTAGTCAGAGTGACCACTAGTGCGCTCTACACGTGCTATTCCGGTGTTTTTTTTCTTCAATCTTGCAAAAAAATCTTGTTTTGCAGGAGAACAAATTGGTAAAAAATTATGCTTCTCATCCGCCAAAAACCAACATATGAATTTGTTACTGTTCCAAAAACCATGCAAAGTGCACTGGTGTGGATGCTGTAAGTACAAACCACACAAGGGATGAAAGACAATGTGTGATATTAGATACAAGAATTATGCTCCACTCATTTGATTACTTTTGAATCACATTCATTACTGATGTGTAGATAATCTTAATGTATTAAATTTGATGATCTTTAAATACCATCCCAAATATATGACAAATGCGATATTACGTACATTAGTATTTGAATAGTGATCTTTTCAAGATTGATTACAATTAATTACTACTCTGACAAAATAATTAAATCATTGAATTGTTACAATTTACCTAATAAAAAGAAAGAGATGAGGGTATGGTTGGTCAAGTGATTTATGCCAAGAATATAATAGGCCTGTTGGCAAACCAACAATTAGCATGTAGGATTACTATTAGCCTATCATGTTAGTTGATGTGTTTAGTCAATCCACTTAAGCTTTCAAAGTTATCCCCAACTTCTACATATAATATAATTTTAAAAATATTATCTTCAACTTCTAGATACAATACAATTAAGGGGGAAACAGAAAACCTAATTGACCCACTAAATGAGTGGCTACTTTTATATTATAATAATGTATCTTAATGACACGTTAGATGGTCACATATTATTTTACACAATTATTTAAGGTATAATTTAAAGATATAATTATATTTGAGTATGTTTTTTTTTTTTTTCAAAAATATGATACAAGACATTTAACATTATAGTAAAAAAAAAAGTGTTGAATGGAGGTGAGGATACACAAACTAAATCATTTTTTTTTTGAAATTTCTTGATAATATAATATTATTCTTTAAAAATAGTTTCTTTTTTCAAAAAAAATATTTTTCACAATTGAATTATGAATCATTTTAGAATTGAAATTATGGTCATGTAATAAATAATTTGCATAACATATATTTAAAAAGTGAACAATTTTCAATTTTAGTATTATATTGAGAACATCCGTCGATCCGTTTAACAACATTAAATAACCAGCTCTTATGATAGCACTCACCACTTTTACAAGTTGCAAGAACATGTATATATATTGAATGTTTATTGTGCTGATCGGCGCGACTAAATAAAAATTATTTAAATTGTATATGGTAATATGGTAAAATATAATGTGCCAGTTATCCCTAACTAATCTAATTATTATTTTAATTTTTTTAAAAAGAAAATATTATTTTTGGGATTTTTTTTTTTTTTTTAAATTCCCATAATTATGTTGTGTCACACTTTCACTGCACCATGGGAGCAGTGGGGTGTGGCTCATCCACTGGTCTAACATGATAGAAACTTGATATAATAATGAGAATAGAATAATGTTTTGTTGCACATAATAATTTGATAAAAATGAAAAGAAAAAAAAAAGAAATATATGTATTATTATGTCTGGTGGTGACGAGGATTTGGATGGCTCCGACATATAGAGCTTATCCTTAAAATTCCAACTAGTCAATCATTGATTGTGAACCATAGGATCTCCGAAGCAGCAGATAATGTCGAATCTGTAGATAAGGCAATAACCAAACCTATACAGATATACATACACATTTAATATACTTCTAATTTATCATAATCCGGGCCCCACTTTATTCTCACCCTCTTCACTTATCTTGCTTGCGTGCTACCTCTTTCCCTACTTGCCACGTTCACCAATAATTTTCTTTTTCAGAAATATTACCACTAAATATTACTCCGTATAAATGTTTGAGATTGTAAAGCTAAATAGATTATGTTATGTAATGTTTTTTTATTTTTAAAAAAATGATATTATACTACATTTAACAATTAACATCATCGTGTTATATTCACTGTTGTAAAAATTGACTTAAGCGTTTAGCGCCTTTAGGTAGATGGAATTTTACTCGTAGGCGAACATTAGTCGGTTGGTTGATTGGTCAGCCTACTAGGTTGTCTAGGCACCCGAGTTGGTTAATTCGGTGCCAAAGTCAGCCAAGCTCGGCTTCTGAGTTGGTCAACTCGACCGAGTGTTTTTTTAATGTGCAATGTTTACACTACTGTATTTTTCCTATTATTATTACTTGTCTACTTGGGCGTTAGGTGCCCGACTAGTTCATAGCGCATTCTACAACAGTGACTATATCAATGTAAATAGGTTATTAAAAGCGGAAGTAAATTATGTTGTGCAATGTTACATTGTTACCTACCCAAATCCTCATGCATATATGGAGTATAAGTAAAAGTATGATAGAGCAATCTCAACCAAGTTAGTAGAGTGATTGACTGATAATAATAAGATTATTATAAGTTTGACTTATCGAGAGATGTTTATTAGCCTTTGATTGAGTCAATTAGCTATGAGTAAGCTAGACTAATTCTTTTTTTTTTTTTTTGTGATCCTCAGCGATTGGAGTTTACTTAATACATATTTTTAGATAGTGAATTCAGGTTTTAATTTCCTGGTCACTAAAAAAAAAAAAAGAAAAAGAAGTAAAAGGTATGGTTTTGTAAATAAATATTTGGTGGTCCCAGATCATCCATGGTAGCACAGGATTTTGGTGTGGCAACATGTGATAAGATTTCATTGTCCCAAAAGCAACTTGAACCAATCCACACGCTATCTTCTGGCCATATAAATATGCCTCCTAGGAATAGGTTCATCTTCATGTGCATGTTTCATAGTATTTGATAAAGGAAGCTTCTTGATCAGGATCGGAGGACCATACCCGGGCGATTATTATAAGGTGGTTGTTACAAAGGTTTCTTCTTAATTAATTTCGCAGTTGGATCAAATCCCAGAAAGCTCAGATCATCTGCAATGGGAGAAGGCAAGACTCAGTTGATTCAAGATCAGTGGTTTCTGTATGGGAATAATAATAATAATAATGGTTTCAAGAATCACCAGGAAGAAGAAGATGATGCATCATCATCATCCACTTCATCATCATTCATAGGAGAGAATTCCTCATCATTATCATCATCATCATCATCATCAACAATATGTTCTCTGGACACCACAGATGATGCATCTTCTTCATCTTCACCTCCTTCCTTCAATGGATCCTTGTATGACCTCTCATCTCTCATGTCCCAATTACCCATCAAGTAAGTCCTCACAATATACTGAATTCTTAGATGATATATATTCTTAGATCTATCAAATTATTGTTCCTTAATCTTGATTTGTGTTATTCCAGGAGGGGGCTGTCTAAATTCTATAATGGGAAATCAGAATCTTTCACATCTTTGTCAAGGGTGAGCAGCATAGAAGAGCTTGCAAAGAAAGAAACACCATTCAAGAGAAAAATGAAGGCTTGCAAGAGCTATGGGGCTGGGTTGGATGCCTACAAATCATACACTTCTCCTAAGCCAATTATCACAAAGAAACCCTCATCCAAGATCTCATTTTCATCTTCTCAAACTAGAAGAGGGAGCTTCACCAGCAGGAGCACTAGACCCCCTCTCATTCCTGTGCAGGAGAACCACCTAGGATGCTAAACTTTGTTGTTCTTCATAGAGAGAGAAACAAGGGTCTTATTAATTTTCTTACATATAGTGAGAGAGAGAGAGAGAGAGAGAGAGAGAGAGAGATGTTTATAGTTATTGAATTTTGTTACTTCTATAACAACATATGGAAGAGTTTAATTTGATTTGTTTAATGTTCTATGAGCATGGGGTTATTCTCTTTTGAGCATATATGATGATAGCTGCCAATTACCAGTAAAATCTCCAGAAATGAACAAAAGAGAAGTAGGGAAATTAAACTAAAGATTAGAGAATTATCCATTACATTAGATCAGAACAGATCAACAAGTTTTCTAAGAAGAATGAAGAAAGCTAGCTTATGAAACAACAGATTGCTGTTTCCCTAAAGAAACAAATACAATTCACTAAGATTGATTGATTTTCATGGAGACATGACTCGGCTTCGAATTCTGCTGGATCGCCTTACTGGAGTTGTGATTACCTTCTTGGCCTCTCCATCTTTGCCTCCCTGTGGCCAAAATCGAAATTAAGTAATGAAAATTGGGATGAAAGTATGTATACTTCAGACATGAAATTTACCTCTTTCTTGACTAGCTTCTTTTCAGTGGTAAATCTTCCATATGAGGAGGATTCAGAGGTTTGAGAGTCCAAGAAAGCAGATGGCTGCAATGGAGGAAGTCTTGAGCCACTGACATGAGAGAAGGAATTGCTACTACTCTCTTCTGTTTCAGGCAGCCTGGTTTTCCTGGCATGAGTTCTTAGGGAGCTGCTCACTTCTCCTATAACAAGTTCTCCAAGAAGCTCAACCCCGAGCGATTTGGTGTGGCTAAGCTCTACCGATGAATCCCTCACTGAGCGAGCCAAAGATGAAGCTTCTATAGAATAAACGTTGTGAAGTTGTATGGTGTCTTGAGTGGCCATTTCGACTCTAGGGGAGATTTCAATTTGGGGGAACAACTTGGGGTGGTCCTTGGATGTTTCTTGAATAGGATAGAACGACGATGAAGAAACCTTTGCAGCAATAGATTCTCTTTTCCCATCAACACCATCCTCAACATGTGCTATTTCGACATTTGGAATCACAGCTGTGAGTATCTCCGCTTTGTTAGACTGCTGTGGTGGTTCAACGACAGGATTTGAGCGTTTATGAGAAGTTCTTCTTGCTTTCCTTGCAGAATAAATGGAAATTGCATATGCCAAAATCAGGGAAAGTATGGAGGAAGCAATGGCAAGAGCTGCTGGAGTGGGTCCAATCTGTTGGAGCTTTAAATATATGGACTTCTCGGCACCATCAGAATTACTGGAATCAGATTCTTCACTAATCTTGTCATCTGTATCTGCACAAGTATCTTCATCTCTATCCATTTGTGTCTCTAGAACTGTTTCTCCAAGGCTTGCCTTTGAAGTTGGTTCTTCTACCAGTACGACCTCATTCTCGTCACTCATTTGATCGAATTCTTGGATTACAGTAGCAAAATTCTCATCTTCTGATGGTGCAGCATTAGGAATAGCAAGGCTTTCAGAGATTTCCAGATTTTCGTGATCTTCACAGGAATCATCCGTCTTATCAAAGGCTTCGGGCTTCTTCAGCAAGCCAAAACCTTCATTTTCCACTGCACTGACAGCATCAAGTTTGTTTTCGGTAGGTTCTAATATAGCCAGGTGATCAAAAGCTTCTGCTTCTTTATCATCTACCATATCAGCTTCTGTGGGTTCTTTCTCTAGTTCTTGATCAGATCCTCCATTGAGCCCATTCTCAGGCCCAGCCACCTCAAAGATCTCCTCTTCATCTTCAGCCAATTCTACCTCATCATCAGCCTGAATACCAACTTCTCCTTGATCCAATTCCCAAAAACTACTTGTCGAAGCCTCAATTTTGTTCTGAGAATCACTTATACTTCTATTCACATCTAAGGGGACAGCTCCAAGTACTGGGTAGATATCATCAGAGCCTATCATAGCCGGTTCAGTTGGTGAAGATAAAGGATAGTCCATCAAAGATGCAAACAAGGGAGATAGGAACACAATCACCATTAAAAGAAGAAGTTTCAACAACCAATTGAAACTCTGACCATTCTCCTCCTCCACATCATCTTCATCCTCCTCCTCGCTGTATACTGCTTCATCGTTGTCATCATCATCAGCATCCTCATTCTCAGGAATTTTATCATTTTCTGGCTCGGCATTCCCTTCCTGGGAAGGAAGAGGGGAGTCATCATCGCCATCCCCTTTCTTGAGAATTTCATCGTTTTCTGGTTGCACATTAACTTCATTCTTGGCATGCCCCATTGATCCTTCATCTCCAACAAATTCCTTGGTTTCAACACCAAGACCATCATTTCCTTCTCCACCCCTATTTTCAAGATGCAGAAAGATCTCCCGACGCCTGTTAGGTTTATAGCGCAAGTACTTAGGCCGGGGGGAGAGGTAATTTGTTAAAGGATCATACTGATTTGAGGACGAATCAGCAACAAAGCTACTGTTTTGCTCATCATCATTCGACCCGGAGGCACAACTTTGAGATGAAACTCCTAAAGAAGATCTGCCAGAGTATTTCGAGCCTCCTGAGTTTGAGTCAGCTCCATTCCTTTCACCCAAAATATTCTTCCCCCTTACAGCAGTCTTAGAAGCTTCAGACATGGGGGGTGAAATGAAATGCCTATTCAGTGGTTTCTTGTGGTTATGCAACTTGGAATTCATTTGGCCCTGGGTCAATACATTCTCATTTGTTTCCCCAGCTCCTATACAGGAGGAAATGCAGAAAATTGTATAAGAAATGGTTCTATAAACAAACCTGTTACTGCATATGCACAGAAAATTAAACATCCAACTTTCTTTTAATGCACAAGACATAAATGCTTGGTTTCAAATTTCAACAACATTTTACAAGGACATTTTTACTTATAGTTCTCAACTATACGTTAAATTTTTGTTTTTGGCTCAGCAGACAGGGCCAAATGCGGGTGCATACAACGGATCTGTCCACTTTGGGTATAATCCCCACACTGTCACCTTTCGAACCTTGGTCTACCTACTGAACAATTGAGCTAAACTCGTGCGGGCAATTCAAGTATATGCATAACAACAGTTAATTCAAGTGATGCTTAGTTGGAAAACTCATCAAAATTGCTAAAGGTAATAATACATTCAAAGTTGAGTTACTTATAGTAAAATAAAAAGTATAATCGATAATTACAAGTGAAAAATGCCACAAAAATTGAAAGACAAGTGTAAAAAGTTCTTGATCAACATCTATAGACATCATATAGCATGAAATTCGAAAAATTCAAAGCTGGAAAACAAGCTTAACAAGGGAAAACAGCTAATTATAAATTCTGTGTCATTTCAAATTCCTACTACTACTAAGAGAGCAAGAAAGCAAATTCTAGGGTTCCATGATTTTTAATTCCCTCTTAAATTTCACTAAACAGAATACCCATTTCAAGAAACAACATATGTCTGCTACAAAATGGGGGAAGAAGAAATGGCTTACCAGAAAGTGATGGTTTAGGAGCTGCGGAAGGTTGATGAGGCCTCGATGAAGAAACCCTTTTCCCGGAAGATGAACCGTCCATGTCTATCCAAACCGATTTTTTGTTTGATTTTGGAAATTTTCTGATATCCAGAACGCTTTCTTCAGAAGAGAGGGTTCGGGGAGTTAAAGAAGGAAAGAATTAAAGAAATCTGGAAATGAAGAATATGACCGTTGGGTAGTGGATTAAAATAACGGAATTTGAAATTTGGAATCTCGGGGTTTTCTGACCGTTGGAGTACTGTGTGTGAGCTGTCAGTTTCGTAATGCGTCGTAATAACGGCCGAACTCAGCTCCTGGTTGGTTGCAAGTTGCAACACGGCGTTATTGCGTTTGAAATGTTATTGGGCCTGCTCCAATTAATTTTGTGCCTCATTATTGTCTAAATTTATATCTTTAATTTATTTACAAGTACATAATTTGTTAATTGTAGATATATAAAATGAATTGTGGTTGGTGCGCCTTGGTTTGTTATATAATTTGTGATCTTCAATAGTTATGCTGTGCAACCGAATGTACCATGCGCATGGTGCATACGGTTCAAAACGACGTCGTTTTGATTAAAAACGCGCGTCCCACTTAAAAAAAAAAAAAATCAGGTTCGATTCTCAGCAATAGCATTATTGTGGATATATAGTTATGAAATTGTGGATATATAGTTATGAAATTGTGGTTATATAGTTATGAATTTATGGATATTTAGTTCATTAATTGTGGATATTTAGTTCAATCATATATTGTGGATATTTAGTTCATTCATTGTGGATTTTTACTTCATTCATTCATTCATTGTGGATTTTTACTTCATTCATTCACTGTGGATATAGTTATGAAATTGTGGATATATAGTTATGAAATTGTGGTTATATAGTTATGAATTTATGGATATTTAGTTCATTCATTGTGGATATTTAGTTCAATCATATATTGTGGATATTTAGTTCATTCATTGTGGATTTTTACTTCATTCATTCATTCATTGTGGATTTTTACTTCATTCATTCACTGTGGATATATAGTTATGAAATTGTGGATATATAGTTATGAAACTGTGATTATATAGTTATGAATTTCTGGATATATAAAAATGTTATTGCCGGGAATCGAACCTGATTTCTTCTTTAAGTGGGACGCGCGTTTTTTTAACCAAAACGGCGCCGTTTTGCAACCGTATGCACCTTGCAAGGTGCATTCGGTTGCACAGCATAATTTGCGTGTGATCTTTTGGTGGACCAATGTTGCTGGGAGACAAAATCTGGCCCAACTATTTCTAGCTGGGCAAATTTTTCTGTTAACCATGGTTTACAGTCCACACAATTGTGTAAACCATGAATAAAAGGTACATTTTTAATAGGAAAAATTAACGATTTGGTCCCTCAATCACTTATTCATCGATTTAGTTCCTGAAATCAATTATTTTTAGTTGATTTAACCCCTACGGCCGTCTTCTGTCAACCAGCCGGTGAGGACTCCAATTTAGCAAGGGTATTTTGGTCTTTTCTTGTCTTCAACCCTCTTCTAATATCTAGTATTTGAAATAGACTCCAATATTAACGTCGGCGGTAGACCATGTGATGGGAGGCGGCGGCGGAGTCCAGTGCTTTATTTCACCATAGCCATGACATTATGAAACGTTGGAGTGAACAAATTGAAAACATGATTTTCACCTTTAGCCTCCACCACCTCCGACTCCCCTTGCCAACCCGGTTTAGCTAGCTCCGCCGTGTATCGCCGCCCTATGTGGCATAACGGGTCTTGCTCTGCAACGTAAACCAGGACCTTGTTACATGGCCTCCGATCTGACGATCTTTACCTCAACGTACAGCGCCCCCAAATGGACAGTCGCCGCTGCCACCCATCACGTGGTCCACCATCGACATGTGGTGCTATGAGCGTCATGCATTTATCTCCATGATTCTCTTCCTGGACATCTGGTTTTCGTTGTGCGTCGTTCCCACCGTCAATGCTTGGTAAGAAGAGGGCTGAAGACAAGAAAAGACTAAAATGCCCCTGCTAAATCGGAGTCCTCACCGGCTGATTGACGGAAGATGGCCGGAGGGGTTAAACCGACTAAAAATAATTGATTTCGATGACTAAATCAATGAATAAGCGATTGATGGACTACATTGACAGGTCGCCAATAATTAAGGGATCAAATAATTGATTATCCCTTTTTAATATACTAAAAGTACTTTATTTGTGTACTTGAATGTACATTATTTGATAATATACAAAATAATGTACTCTCGACATTCAAATAATATATTTTCAAATAATGTACTTTTAATATATTAAAAATATACTTTTTATTTATAGTTCACACAGCTGTATGAACCATGGTCCATGGAACAATGATTGGCCCAGTTGTGGGAAATATATACATATATTATTGTATGATTTATGTTTTTTTTTTAGTTTCATTTTCCACAAACTAAAGTATTATTTAAAGAGATTGAATGTAGATTTCATCCAAGTAGAGATGCACTCTTTACTTGTGTTTAATGCCTTACAAACTCCTTCCCTTTCTTGATGGCATCTTTGCATTGTATAATTTTACAAGGAACGTAACTTAAGTTATGGTGCTGCAGCTTTTATTCTGGTGCCCAACCACAGTGGTGGTACGTTTCTTGCGTGTTTTTTTACCCTTTTGATTGGCGGCGGCGGCGTTAGGCGTCTGGATACAAGCAATGTAGCAGCCAATTGAGTCTATATACCACCCATTTCTCCCCTTCAACCCACCAATCTTACCTCCTTCCACGGGCACTGAAAAGGGGGTTCCTTCTTCCAACCCAAATGGCCCAAATGTCCTCTGCAGGTTGCTTTTAAAGGTGAGCGATCGTATCACAAGGCTGCCACGTTCTGGTCCATAGTAGCCACTAATACTGGTTAGGTATTCCTCTGGAAATTGTAGCTTTACCTGAAATAGATGGAAGAAAATTGGCCACTTTAGGAGTAGAGTAAGGAGCCTCTTTCATAATCTCAAACCTTATTATGAGTGTTTGGCAAATGGCCGTTAGTTAACAGTTTATTGAGTTAGCTGATAGTTTATAACTTATTGCTTTCGGTGTGAGGTTGATCCCACATTGAATATTTAAGAAAGAGTTAATACCCAAAATCGTCCTCGACTATAGTGGTTTTTCTCAATTTCGTCCTAAACGACTTTGGTGACCTAATATCATCCCAGACTTTTGTGTTTCGCTCAATTTAGTCCCAGACTTTTGTGTTTTTGCTCAATTTAGTCCCTCATTTGTTATTCTGTCCATTTGGTGTTAAATAAATAGACAATTCAGTAATTTTAATATTGGCATCTCTTTACTCATAGACATGTGAACTGCGAAATCCTTTTTTTTTTTTTTTTACGAATTACTCCCAGAATTACTCCTAAAACTGCGAATATAAAATTTGATTTGCAGGTCCGGGAGTAATTCTGGGTGTAATTCATACAAGAAAGAGGAATTTCGCACTTTACAAGTTGAAAGTAAAGAGAGATCAATATTGACATTACTGAATTGTCCCTTTATTTAACACCAATTTGACGGAATAACAAATTGAGGACTAAATTGAGCGAAACACAAAAGTCTGGGACGATATTAGGTCACTAAAGTCGTTTAGGACGAAATTGAGAAAAACCACTATAGTTGAGGACGATTTTGGGTATTAACTCATTTAAGAAATAAGACAGTTGAGCTTCATCTATTCCAATGTTGAAAAAATCGCTAGGCACCCTATAGGTGTCTAGGGACCGCCTAGGGCACCTAGAACGCCTAGGCGGGGGCGAACGCCTAGGAGGCTGACCACCTAGGCGCCGATTACACGATTTTTACAATACTGATCTATTCTAAAATGCTGGTCAAAATGACTAATCAGCCATTTACCAAACATTATCATGTTTGTTAAAAGGAGTTTTGGTTTTGGTTAAGTGAACAAAGTAAAAAGTGAATGACAAAAATGACTTGAAAAAATAAGGAAGATTTTGTTACATATATACCTCCCCAGTTTTGTCACCACCATTTCCTCCATGCTTTTTTTCTGCAATAAAAGGCCTGCCATTTTTATTGTAAACTACCTTTATGGAGTCAATACAACGGCCATAGACGAGGCTTATCTCTCTTATTCCATCGATGCTACCATCATCCCTGCACTCACTACTGCCGCCTCCATGAACACCCCATGGTCCAATTTCTATTCTTTTCTTCACTGCACTAGCTTCTTCCTGCACCTAACAATATAATAATATAGGTCTGAGTTATAACTAAAACTCGAAAAGATTAAAGATCGAGTTTGGTCAATAAATGATACCATTGTTGTTGATCCAAGAGAGTACGTGCAGAAGAAACTGATGAAAGATAGATAGGTAATGAGGGGTTGCAGCAATAAATAAATGTTTAAATATATAGCAATGGGTTTATGAGAGTTTAGAGCCAAAAGACTGATTTAGAGAACAGATAAGTGTAAGTGGTTGTAGCATCTGATACCTATGTTGCCTTGTGGTATAGATACTCCTGATGAGTCTCCCATTGTTTTGTGTTAATTGGAATCTGATACTATATATGATGTTTGTGGAGTATCGGATGCAATCTGAAAAAGATTCTAAGGAGATAATGGCAGCAGTAGAACAAGGACGAATCTGAAAATTCCCCAGGTAATCAACTATTACGACAATGTTTTTTGTTCCAAATTTTTTTGTATTTTTACTTACGAGTTCTCAGCCATACAATAGTCTATCGACTTATAATTTATTATTGTTATTATTTTTAGTCATTTCAACCAGTTTTCTTAATTCTTACCAGATATCATCTACAACTAGTATATGCATGCATAACAATTAATTCAGGTGACGCTTGGTAAAACAGCTAATTATAAAATTTTGTGTCATTTCAAATTCCACGGAGAGTTTCTCTAATATGTGCTTTCACTTTGTCAAATGGTCTGCAAACGGTATTGCCCAATGCCCACATTCTAGCTAAGGTTACTTCTATGTTAGACTATATGGAGTGCTACCCCTCCCTTTTTCTTTGTAATGTTCGCTTAGTTGATTTAATGAATTATGTTATTTTTTTAAAGTATTGATAACGTGATTTGAGTTCATTAGACATGTCTACATATAAAAGATAACATTATTGAATTTATGTAGATGTTGAGTCTTTTATTTTCTTAGTAAGTTTTCTGGTCAGTAGGAAAATAAATTATTTAGAATTATTGGATCCGAATTCTTAAAATATGATAATTGGCTGATTATCAAACACTCATTTTAGCTAATTGACATACTAAAATAGGCAAAGTGGATCAAATTAACTAGCTAAAAATTGACTGATCATTCATATAACGTACCAAAAACTCCATTTATGCTAATGAAATTGACTCCATCCCTTTCTTTATGTTATTGTCTAGCCATTTATCATTTTGAATAGATGAATCAAATTATTTACATTTCTCATTATGAGAAGCTTATCTCTCATTTGATCTGATTGTATATATAATTTATTCATTAGATACAACTAACATCACACAATTTTAAGATTTCAAACTACAAAGAACGATTAAATAAGTTGATGCCATCGATTAGCGTGAACTAACCTCGTGTGAAGTGTTAATTAATGAGTAAAACAACAACCTAGCTATCTAATAATGATTAGATTTGTCCACACGGGTTTAGTTCACTGGTTCAGTAGACAGTATTTGTAAGAATAGATCAATGTTTGAATTTCGACAGCTGTAAAAATTATACCTAAAGTGAATAGATCCCTTATGCATACAGATAATCAGAATTGAGTTACCGTGATTTACATCATTTTAAATGTTCTATCTGGCCGGGGGTGTGGAGAAAAAATAATGATTAGATTAGGTTATAAATTAATTATTAATCTCTCCAAAAATTGAATTGTTAACGTAGGTAAGCGTGTCGTGATGAAAGCAATAGCCGTTCGACCAACCAACAACGACGATCCTTCATCTTGAATTATTGGAAATTGTGAAAATTCAGCATTGATAAGTGTTCGAATCATCAGAACATGCTACTTACTTAATTCTGATTATGCCTTATTTAATTATTTTGCCTCAGCAACCCATTTCAAAACTTTTTAAAAATATAAGATTTAAACTTTTTATAATGCCGTAAATAACAATTGGCGCCAACGTAACGAGCAAATTAAATTAATTGTTTTTTAGCAAATGAAATTAATTAAGATGAAATTCTTAATTGACCTTACAACGGTGCTATTACTCTGTCACATGCATATATGCGAAATGCGATATTATTTGGATAACAGAATTCAAATTTAGATCTAATGTCTAAAAACTAGGGTAGGCCTAAATTAAATTATTCGAACTACCACCCGAAATTCGAACTTAATTTTAAATTTCACATGAACTTAAATAATTATCGATTTAGATATTTTAAATTTTGGTATATCTAAATATAAATTTTATTTGAATACTTTATCGATATCCGAATCGAAACTCGAACTAATCAAAATTTTATTATAAATATAATAATATAAATTATATATTTAATTTTAAATTTATTTCATAATTAATAATATATTAATTCTCAAAAGTCTCTTAAGTAGTAATTACTATTTTGTTTTATTTTTAGTTTGATAGTATATAGAAAATATAAATACAAAAATAATAAAATCGTTAAAAAATTTAAAATTGATAAAAATAAAATTTTGAGTATATTCAAATGAACCCGGAATAATTTTACCCGAACTGAATATATTCGAATTAAATTTAGTTCGAATATCATGTATCAAAAAATCACCCGAAAATTTCAAATATCCGAAATAAAATTCGAGCGTCACCCAAACCGAACCGATGCCCACCCCTACTAAAAACAAAGATAACTTATCATTTAATTATATAGTTTGAATTACAATGTTTTTTCGAAGAGTGGATATTGAACGGATTCGAACTAATTTGTGTTTTGAGGTGATTTAAAATTGGTAATTGTAATTTTGATGAGTTACGTGATGAAAAAGGTTCATCAATAAAAGATGGTAATACGTTTCGAGTATAGTGATTGCCTAGTAGTTTGATGGTATGAGTAGTAATGTTTTTTTTTGTTTTGGTTTTTTTTTTTTTCTTTTTTTTTTTGGATAGAGATTATGGGGGTGGGTGGATTATGGTGGTTGAGGCATTGGGTGATGACGATGTATATTGTTGGTAACATTGTCGATAATAGTTGTGGTGATAATTTGCACATATTGTCATGAGTTAGATTTTTGAAGTTTTGGAGAATCAAAATTGAATTTTTTTTGAATCACGAACTATGTAGGGGTAAATGAGAATAATGCCTTCTTATACAAAGTGAGGACGGATCAATCTCAACTGTTCATTAACGATTGAGAGTTTAGTAAAAAAATACACTAATACAGAGTTAATTTTATAATTATTAAAAATTTTAAATTTTTAATATTTATAAAAAGAATTATCCGTAGTATCTTTTTTTTTTTTCCTCTTATATTTCAACACTCCTCAATCGTAGGGTTAATTTTAAAAGAATTATCCTAGTACCTTTTTTTTATCAGATTAGTTATCATTGTTAGCATCTAAGATGATTCATGGTAACTCAACTGAACACCACTTTGAAAGGTTGCTCTCACACTGGTGCTGGTGAAATTCGATCCTGAGTCATTGTTCTCAAACGTCTCCCTTGTAATCAACTGAGCTGCCCATGTACAATCAGATTAGTTATCACTTTCTAGATGTTCAACCTTATTATTGCATTTTCTTATTTGAATCATAAAAATACTTTTGATTAAAAAAGGGAAAAAAAGAGTATATGATTGCTTTAAGAAAACAAAGAAAAAGATTATGACAAAGATCTCTTGTAGTACGTACGTAGTGTTTGAAATTTGAAGCAGAGCGAATATTCTGGGACAGGATGTACGAATTCGAAAACCTCATCTCAACCGGTACACATGTCTCAAACTTTTTTCTCGTCTTTTCTTTTCAACACACATTAGTGGGGATGAGAACTGATTGTATTGTATTTTACTGAACTTAATTACAATGAGATCAGATGATGTGAATATATAGAGTAGAGAGTCACAGTGTGACAATGATAAGAAGTAGAGAGTCACAGTGTGACAAGGATAAGAAGTTCTAAACAGACTCATATACATAGAGTCCTAATACTCCCCCTCAAGCACAGTGTATACTAGTAACTTGTAGCTTGTCCATTAAGGAAGAAAATCTAGGTCCAGGCAGAGCTTTGGTGAAGATATCAGCAAGTTGATCCTTTGTGGAGATGAAGTTGACTTGGATGTCGCCCGAAGCTACTCGATCACGAACAAAATGATAATCAATCTCTACATGCTTGGTGCGCGCATGAAAGATTGGATTGGCACTCATATATGTAGCTCCTAGATTATCACACCATAATTTTGGAATGGAAATACCCGGAATCTGTATCTCACGCAGTAATGACATAATCCATAGAACCTCAGCACAAACATCTGCAAGAGCTTTGTATTCAGCCTCAGTGGATGACCTGGCAACAGTTCTCTGTTTCTTGCAAACCCATGATATAAGATTACTCCCCAAGAAAACAGCAAAACCACTCGTGGATTTTCGATCGTCAGGACAACCAGCCCAATCAGAATCAGAGAAAGCATGAATGTCTCTAGATGAGCACCGTCGTATGCGTAAACCATGATCAACTGTTCCCTTAACATACCTGAGTACCCGTTTGAGCTGCTCCCAGTGTGATATGGTGGGAGCATGCATATGCTGGCATAACTGATTAACTGCAAAGGATAGGTCAGGTCATGTGACAGTGAGATATTGCAGTGCTCCAGCTAGACTCCTGTACTGTGTGGGATCATCATATAGATCTGAATTAAAGGGGACAGTTTTCGAGACAGAGATAGGTGTAGAAAGGGGTTTGCATTCAGACATTCCAGCCCGTTTTAAAATATCATTCATATACCGTTGTTGAGATAAAATAATCCCATTGTTACTCTTAACTGTTTCAATACCTAGAAAGAAATTTGGTTCACCAAGATCTCTGATTTTGAATGTAGCAGACAGTTTGGACAAGAGCTGTGACATAATACCCTGATCACTTCCCATTACAAGAATGTCATCCACGTACACCAATAGATAAACCAAAACAGAGTCTTTAGAGTAATAGAACAGAGAGACATCTGTCTTGGATGCTTGAAAGCCAACCGATAGTAAGAACGTATGTAGTCGATTAAACCAAGCTCTGGGAGCTTGTTTTAACCCATACAGAGATCTTTTTAACAAACAAACATGATTCGGGAAGTTAGCATCAATATAACCAGGGGGTTGCTTCATATAAACTGTTTCAGCCAGATTACCATTCAAAAAAGCATTATGAACATCTAGCTGTTTGATAGACCACTCAGATGATAAAGCTAGAGATAGAAGGAGTCTTACAGTCGTAGGCTTTACCACTGGACTAAAAGTGTCGAAGAAGTCCTGACCTGGAACCTGATTAAAACCTTTCGCAACCAGCCTGGCTTTATGCCTTTCAATAGCACCATCAGCCTTTCTCTTCGTACGAAACACCCATTTACAGCCAATAATATTCATACCTGCAGTGGGTGGAACTAGAGACCATGTGTGGTTATGCAGGAGAGCATTGAATTCTTGGTCCATGACTTCACGCCACTTAGGATATTTGACAGCTTGAGAGTGACATGTGGGTTCCGTGGGATGCAGCTGAGCTGCTAGAGCAAAAAGAGGAGCATCTGCGTTGCTGCGAGTGGCCATAGAGTGAGTATGGACATTGGGCCTGATGGACGGCCCACGTGGACGGCCTCGCCGGCGAGCAACAGGCTCCACAGGATCACCCGACGAGGCAGCCTGTCCGGGATCCACGGCTGGTTCGAATGAAGCAGGTAGCGGCGGTTCTGGCGGCTCATCATTGGACACGGCAGGAATATGTGTGTTGTGACTGAGAACAGATTCCGCCCAAGGTCCAGAAAACGGAGCAGATAGATCCTGCAAAGAAGTTTTAGTAGCAAAGGGAAAAACTTCTTCATCAAATCTGACATGCCTGCATGTGTAAATCTTATTAGTATGTAAGTCCATGCATCTGTACCCCCTAAATGACTCAGGATAACCTAGGAAGACACATGGAGAAGACCTGTATGACATCTTATGACGATTATATGGTCGAAGATGAGGGTAACATAAACACCCAAAGACACGAAGAAAAAGATAGGAAGGAGGGGATTTATGTAATAGGAGATGAGGAATGGAGTTATTTAATACAGAAGATGGCATTCTGTTAATTAAATAGACAGCAGTCTCAAAGGCAAAATCCCAAAATTTCAAAAGAACAGAGGCATGAGCTAGAAGAGCCAGACCAGTTTCAACAATGTGACGATGTTTTCGTTCAACACGACCATTCTGTTCATGTGTATAGGCACAGGATTGTCTATGTTGAATTCTTAATTGAACAAACGAAGAATGCAACTTTTTGTACTCAACACCTAAATCAGACTGAATGGCCTTTATTTTGCAATTAAAGGACCGTTCAACAAGAGTACGAAATTTATCAAAAATGACATAAAGATCAGACTTTAATTTCATAGGGAAGAACCATGTATAACGGGAATAGTCATCCACAAAGATCACAAAGTAACGGAAGCCAGATGTAGATAAAGTGGGCGCAGGACCCCAAATGTCTGTGTAAATAAGATCCAGTACATGAGAACTAGAGGAAGCAACACGAGGGAGGGGAAAACGGGCAGATTTGCCTAATTGACACGCATTGCATAAAGAATTAGTACAACGAATACTATCACGAGATCCACTAACTAAACAAGATCGAAGTATATGGCTAAGAACACGGTTATGAGGATGACCCAAACGATTGTGCCAAGTGGAAGCCGAGGCACGAGCGGAAAGAAACGCTGACGGAGACGAACTAGGTAATGGAAGTGTGTATAGTCCCCCAGAACTATTGCCCCGAAGAAGTATTTCTTTGGTATTAATATCCTTCACAACAAAAAAAGAGGGGTGAAACTCAAAAAAGACTTTATTATCGGATGCAAACTTCTGAACAGATAATAAAGAATTAGACAAACGTGGAACGTGAAGTATATCAGACAATGTGAATGATCTAGAAGGGGTATTAAAAGAAGCATGGCCAACATGACTAATAGATAAACCCATACAGTCACCGACACGCAAGGTGTCATTGCCAACATATTCTTCTGAGGTGGTCAAAGCAGCAATGTCCGGAGTAACATGATTAGTTGCCCCTGTATCCGGGATCCATGTCTGAGGAGTACCAACATCTGAATTATCTTGATATGTTAGATTGGCCTGAGGTGGGGTATCATACCGGTTATAGCATACATGAGCCTCGTGACCAGTCCGCCTACATATCTGGCACTGAACCTGATTGCCACCACTGTTGCGTCCGCGACCGCGGCCACCTTGCTGTCTACCGCCACCACCACGATTGGACCCGCCATTGCCACCGCCTGCTCGTTGACCGCCGCCACGGTTCTGACCTCCGCGACCTGATCGGCCACCACCGCGCTGAACAGCAAGAGCCGCCGGAGCACCGCCGTAATCACGACTTACGATAAATTCCTGGGCACCGAGGAAGTCCGCCACTCCTGGAGCGTGACCGGCTGCCCACGGACGGCAAGAGACGCGGTGAGGGCACGGAATTCCGGTCTCAAGCCGCGAAAAACAAAGAGATTCTGATCGTCGAGGGAGACGACGCGGCCGGCGAGGGTGAGCTCTTCAACAATCACCTGAGCTCGCCCGATGTAATCCGCAACCGAAGAATCACCCTGGTCCAGTCCTTGCAACTGGCCGAGAAGGTTTAACGCGCGGGCGCGGGAGGAAGACGACAACGTCTGAATAATGGCCTCCCAAAGGGCACGACTCGTGCGACGTCCGACGGCGATTGGCATGACCTCGTCGGAGAGGGAGGAGACAAGCATGGACAACAATGCTTGATCTTGACGCATCCAAACGGCATAGGCGGGATTCGGCCGTGGCATGGCGTCGGCGGTGTCGGCGTCGGCAGCAAGAAGAACAGCCGGTGAGGGTTTCGTACCATCAACAAACCCCATTAGGTCATGCCCGTGAAGAAACGGGACGACTTGCGTACGCCAGAACAAATAATTCTTGTAGGTTAACTTCGTACTGATGAAGTAATGTGCGGTGGATAGCGACACAATTGACGACGAACTTGACGACATAGCAGCATCAGACACGGTCCGTTCGGAGGAATTAACAGATCCGTCAGCCATAGGGATGAGAGACAAAGAAAAAAAAAAAACCCTAGCTTACTGATACCAGATGAGAACTGATTGTATTGTATTTTACTGAACTTAATTACAATGAGATCAGATGATGTGAATATATAGAGTAAAGAGTCACAGTGTGACAATGATAAGAAGTAGAGAGTCACAGTGTGACAAGGATAAGAAGTTCTAAACAGACTTATATACATAGAGTCCTAATAGTGGGAACCTGGATATGTGCAAGTTAAAATCATATTTTTGCACAAACTGTAAGAAGATAAATGTTAAAATCCAGAATTCATGGAAGTCAGGTAGAATGAATAAGGAGTTAATATCATTTGGTTCTTCCAGTATAATGTTTCAGTTATAAACTTTCAAATTACTTGTATAAACAAAACAGAAAACAAAGACAATATCATAAATTTCATGAAAATATATAAAGATTCAGTCAAACCCTATGAAACAATATAAACTTTCTCTATACAAAACTTGCCCAGAACCTTTATTCCCGGTCAACTTGAAAACGAGACTTGTGGATTCCAACGCCGCTGAAGCTACTTCTTGCCGCCATTATTTCCGGCAACGAAAACCTCTTCTTCTTCTGCCCCGTCTCCGGCCTCTGTTTCGGCGCGCTATGAGACCTCAGCTTCGCGTTAAAGGACTGGGTATTCGCCATGTAACCCGGGAACAAGCTCTCCCCGGAGACGCTCTTCGCGGGCGTTGGTGGCGCATTGAAACGCCCGGAGCCCCTAGCTCGCGGCGTGTTATGCGCCGTCGGGAACTTGCAGTCGACGTCGCCCAGAAAACTCCAGTCGTAATCGCACAAATGGCGCCGGTCCGGGATCGATAGCCTGCCGGGAATCCGACACGGCGGAGGGGTTGAAATTAGGAGGGGAGAGTTCATCTGATCGTCGCCGGAATCCGACATGCCGGCGCTGATCCTCCACCCGGATCTTGATTTCAGATTGTACGTATCGATTTCCACTGTTCTCGGGCTCTCGTCCATTCCATTCATCATTGATTGCTCGAACCTCTCCTGCAAACAAAAACATTAATTCATTACTCTTCAACAATTTCTCGTACAAATCAAGAACTGACATAAAATCCTAAATTCTTACCGTGGACTTTCTGGCTCGAATGTCTGCCACAAATCTGGGGTCATTGCTCAACGAAAGACGAACTCTTTGTGATCGGACGGCCGCCTGAGCTCTGATGAGAGCTTGCATACTATACAGAGTAGCGGCGGCTCTTTTCCGAACAAGATAACCTCTCACTAAAGCCTGCAGTTTTACTATTCCTTTCAGAGCTCTTAAAGCTTTTCTTGCCTGCAAATGGATCAAATTAGATCACAAGACAATTTAGTAGTTTATGTTAGACTCTAAGGTTTGCTAAGACAACATAGGAATATAAGATATTCAAATGACTGCCTATACGAACAGCTCAGTTGAATTATATTCATAGATTCTGAACAAGAAAAACGAAACAAAATTTATTTTTGTTTATAAATTGTGGGCAAGAAAAACGTAACAAAATTTGATAGATTGCGGGCAAGAAAAATGTAACACAATTTGGTAGATTGCGGGCAAGAAAAATGAAGCAAAAGAGGAAAATTACCAAATAGCCCCTGAAAAAAGTTTGAATTTTGACAGCAGCGCACTTCTCCCTCCTCCCATACGCCACTCCTCCACCACCTTTGCCTTGGCTGGTAAGTTTCACCACCGCCACCGCAGCCTGCGCCGCCGCCATGGCCGCGTCAGCCGCGGCTGCGGTGGCGGCAGCCACAGCAATTGCGTGCTTGTTCTGCTCCTTCTCGGAGTCAGACAGGTAAGATCTCACCGGCGTCATATCCCCCGGAAACTGGCCCCCAGCCGCCGCCGCCGCCCGTGAATCGCTGCTCAGCCGGCCAAAGCTCCACCGCTTATTCACCTTCTTGTCCGGAAATTCCTTGTCTTTCTTTATCCCCAGCAACCCCTTCAACCACCTCACAGCTTTCCCCATTCTCCCTCCAAATCCACGATACAGAACTATATCTATAGAGAGAGAAACAATCAAAGAATGTAAGAGAGAGAGAGAGAGAGAGAGAGATTAAGAAACTTTACATGCTTGCAAGCATATATATGTTATAAGAACAGAGTACATGGAGGAAATGGTTTACAAAAGGAATCCGAAACCTTAAAATAAGATCCGGTTTTTCTTTTTTTTTTCTTTTTTTACCGACACAAACCTCGTGACGAACTGTATTATAAGACAAAAAGGCTTCTCAGAACGAAACAGGTTTAAATAAAATAATTTAATTCAAAAATAAAAACCGAAGAAACGAGAATTAACAGAGGGTAATAATCACCATTAAAAGAAAAGACTGAAACTTCTCAAGACTTGACCGAAGGTAATAATAATAATAATCACACAAAAACCGTTAAAGACTTGAAACAACAGATTGAAACTTCAACCTCAAGAATCCCAAACACAAGTAGAGACAAAAACTTACAGTGGGTAATTAATAACAACAACAATAAAGATCACAAAGTCACAAACAGCACTGAAAAATAGCACACAGAAAACAAAGATTGAAACTTTTCAAGAACCCAAAAACTCAACATCAACAATTCACTGGGGGTAATTATCACAAACAGCATAATCATTTTCCCTCCTTTTTCAAATACAAAAATTCTCCTATTTTGCAATTTGATTTCTTGCCCACAAAAAACAAATTTCTCGTCTCCAAAGTCCCACACTCTGGCCGGTGTAAATCATAGTAACTCAGCTGTTTATTAGGTAGAATGATCAGTATATTAGTGCTTATAAAGAATCATTACATTATGTGTAATTCTTATACTATAAGTATCAAAACTTAATCTGTGTTTTTGCCTACAATCTATAGAATCTGGTATATCGCATTGCCAGGGCTCAAGAATCAAGATGACTCCCGCCCAAATTGTTCCTTCTTTTTCTTTTTCATAATTTCTACCTTTTTTTTTTCTGGTCAAACAGGATGATAAAGAGTAAAAGAGAACTGAAAACCATTGAAAAAGCAGAAAATAATGAGAGAGAAGAAAAAGGGTGAATTTTCACCATACACAAGAAGCCTTCTCAGATTCAAAAAAGCACTGGATCTCCACCTCTCTCAATACCAAAGCTATCCAAAAACAGAAGATTAAAAATAAAATAAAAATAGAATCTTTAGTACTTGTGCAATTGTGTTCAAAGCTGCAAGCTTAGCTTTCTCTCACTGTAAAGAAATCCCTTTTGTTTCTCTCTCTAACTTTCTGGAGCAACAAAACATATATATACCCATTACTTTAGGCTGACACAGTGGCCCATTATGAATCTCTTCCCTCTCTTTTTCACCCGTATGGAGTATATGCAATGCATGTTCCTGAAGCTTTGTTTTTATATAGACAAAATAAGAAATGGGTTTCTGGGAAATCTAATGATTTCCTCACCGTTCAAACGGATACTAAAACGGCCGCCATTAAATCCCTCACCAAATACAGTAGTTAAGCGTAATTATCATAGAAAGGCCTTCCGGTGAGTGTCTATTGCCGTAGCCTCATTTGTTTCAAAATATTTGGTATAATTTATTTTAGAATTTTAACCAATTTTAAACAACCCAGATTTGTTTGATAAAACATAAAAAGATTAAAATATTAATTTATTTTAATACTTTACTTTAAATAGTATTTCAAAAATAAGTTAGTAGCTAGACTACTAATATGATGAGTTTTAATTTGGTTAATTTAATAAATTTTAAATTTAATTATTCGGATTTGGATTAATGGATTTTTTTGGGTGAAAATCATTGATTGAACTAAATTAAAATTTGGTTAGTTGAATGAATTAATTTTTGTATTAAATACTAGTTGAAAAATAAAAATTTTAGTTATTAAATTATAAGAAAATATTATTTTTCATCCTTTAATTATATTGTTGTCACTTTTCCTTTTTTATTGTTTGTGAAGTTCTTTAACGATTATACCTTGTACAATCTTTGTTGGTTTCAAATACCTGGTATAATCTAAAATAACTTCTAATAATAAAAGCTACAACCATGGGGTGCACCAATACAAGTTGGATGGTTTTCAATGGTATCGGGTTTAATAGAGTATTATTAAAAGTTATTTCAATATTACACAAATGTCGTTGTGTTTAGTTGACACGGCTGTTTAATCGTTATATTAAAACTTTTTCACAATATCAATTAGTTAATCAATTTAATAAAAATTAATAAGTTAACTTTATTGTCAATCGTATAGTTTTAGACTTAATACAAACAAAAAGATCAAGATATTGAATTAGTCTTGTTGTGGACATTTAGGTCCCTAAGGGCCAGATACTGTTGCGGTTAACCTCATTTACTTTCCAAGTAAGGGCGGTGACACCCTCAAGATTGGGGTGTAATCATTTTTTTTTTTTTGTAATTATGATACAAAATAAGTAATTATGGAATAATGATGTGAAAATAAATAGAAATGAGTCAAGTACATTGTGATCTGAATAAGTCTGATGACATCAGTATTATCATTTCAAACGGAATGTCATGGTTCAAGTCTCATCCCAATTAAGATATTGACATAATCATGTTAACCAAATACCATAGATAGGTCAGATTATAATTACCAAAAAAAATATTTACATTACATGATGCCTCAAACCCCATCATGCCAATCAAAGATGTTAGCAAATACTATAAATATGTTAGATTATAGGTACCCCAAAAAATATTTGCATCACATAGGATGCCTTCAGAAATGTGTGCTGCCATTTTTCGGAAGATAATCTCTGGGAGAAATGAGTGAGAAAGTGAAAGGGAATGATGGATTGTTGCAGAAACTCAGAATGGTTGTCTTTACTATATTTGGAAAGGCAAGGGCAGTAGAGTAATTAGAGAGGAAAACGACAAGTGTTGTGTAAACTTCTATTACCCTGATTTTATTGGGAAGAAAAAGAAAAGAATAAAATTTATAACTCTTTTAGTCAATCTTTTAATCAATTGGAGTATACTATATTAGCAAAGGAATTAAATAGCTCTTTAAAATGGTTGATATTATATATTTCCTTCTAAATTTAGGTTACACAAGATACTTATTATTTTTTTTATTTAATAAATTAATAATTATATCCCTAAATTGTTTTTTTTTTTTTTGCACAAATAAAACTAATATATAAAAATATATTATTAAAAAACTCTGACTAAGAAATTTTAAATAACACTCATATTGATTCTTTTTTAAATTTTTTAGAATTAATTTATAAGTACATTAAGTCATAACTACATATTTATTAGTTATTATTATAGATTTATTAAGTCACTATACAAGGTCTATAATATTTCTCTCCCTCTAATTTACAAAGTATATATATTGGCCTAAATAAATCTATCATTCACACGGACACACGGTGATGTTTATTCAAATTTGTCAATATAAATTCTTAAAACAAACAATACCAATAAAAAAAATTATATATATGTCTGTGATTAATTACTATGTTACCATCCTATTATGTGTTTGCAATTAATATATTATGTATGACTATCTGTAATTACCCTATTATGTGTCTTCAATTTATTTATAAGCACATAAATTGTTAACGGTATGTACAGGATATATCAACTCTTGACACATAAGGTTATTTTAAATTAAGCAAACTCCATAATGCAAGTAGACTGTGGTCTATAGTATAACTTTTGTAATTTTAAATTGGCCATAAATATTTCATAAACGTTTTCAATTATGTGTTTGCTTTTCATTTCACGTTTGATTATCTTACATATTAGTACTCAACACTTTATAATTTCAATCAATTAAACCTTTATATGCACAAAAGATAATTCTAATTTGTTGAGTACTATTAACACAATATGTTACAATATAGTATCTGTTCATAACTACTTTCTCAACTTACTGATGACTCAAACTCATGACCTCCCGTTTGGGATCGTTATACTGTGCTCCATGCATGGTGCACACTGATGCAAAAACGACATTGTTTTGACGTCGACTTAAAAAAAAATTCAGAATTGCATAACTCCACATCCATAATTTCATAACTATACATCCAGAATTGCATAACTATACATCCAGAATTGCATAACTACACATCCATAACTTCATTACTATACATCCAAAATTGCATAACTACACATCCATAACTTCATAACTATAAATCCAGAATTGCATAACTTCATAACTATAAATCTGGAATTGCATAACTTCATAACTATACATTCAGAATTGCATAACTATACATCCATAATTTCATAACTATAAATCCAGAATTGCATAACTATACATCCATAATTTCATAACTATACATTCAGAAATTATGCACAACATAATGTTGTTGACGGGAATCGAAATTTATTTTTTTTATTTATTTTTAAGTTGGACGCGTGTTTTTAGTCAAAACGACGTCGTTTTTGCATCCGTATGCACCATGCATGGTGCACACAGATGCACATCATGATTTGCCTCCCCTTTGAAAGAGTCACTTCATGCTACTAAATCACAAGGTCATTGACAATTCAATTAATTAACTTTAATAAGTCTAGAACATTATAAGTATATATAATTTAAAAAAAAAAAAAAGCATCAATATTCGATTTATTACTATCATATGATTGTCCATTTTAAAAGATCCTGCATGATAGAAATATTACTCATGATTTTCATATATGTAAATCATGTTATACCTACTCCATCATTCATTTTGAGTAATTATTCCAAATTTTTGTTGCAAATAAATAATAACTTTTAATTTTTAAGCCGAGGTTAGTGAGTATTTTTCTTTTAAAAAGTAAAATAAAAATCTGCTAAGATATAGGCATATAGCTAGGTGACACCAACCTATTGGTGCTCCAACGTGTAGATATATAGGTTTGGAGTAATTATATATCTTCTTTGAATTCAACAATTTATTATTTATATTTGACCAATCTTTCCATTTTTTAGGTATACGTAAAAGTTCATCAATGGTGACAAGATTACCCTATTATACCACAAAGACCAACCAGTTTTTTTTTTTTTTCTTTTTTTCTTTTTTTCCAGATTTACACTGTACTAAAATTTACTTGTCTATTGAGTGAAATATTTACAAGAATTGAATTGATATTGTATTTTTCATGGCCTAAATCAAGTTTGATATAAGGCTTGTAAGACGAACAATTATAGTAAGAAAAGAAAGTACAGTTTATATGAATTGTCCATCCAAGAAAACTTCTACTCGGTATGGTTTTTGGATTATCTCAATCTCTCATATTGATTATTTTATGTGAATATATTATTTTTATTGCAGGGATTACGATTTACGATTATGTTTCACCACTTATAAATATGAATTATCAAAAGAAGAGATGAACATTATCCAATCTTAGATCGAAGACATGCCATCTTTCTCATATAATTAACTTCTACATATTAAAACAATAAGGTGCGATTTGGCATGGACCATTGAAAATAGCTATGGTTTTTCCTTTATGAGTTTTTATGTAAAAAAAATTGTGTCCTTTATTTAATTTTCATAGGGGAATAATCGAGTAAGTTGAGTCTAAATAGTCAAAACTCAAGCTCAACCGAATTTTAATTTTTTTTGAGTCCGAACTCGACTCGACTTGAGTTCAAGCTATTCGAGTTCGGCTAGAATGCAGACACTAAAGTTTTTTTTTTTTTTTAATACAAAAATTATAATATAAACATTCGCCTAGTTGATAGTATTAGCTGGTTGTATAAATATATTTAGTTTGGAAATAATGTTTGGTAAATTAGCGGTAATTAGCTGATAGCTGATTACTTGCAAAATGACTTTTAAGGGTATAATTTATTTTATCAAAAAGGTGATCGAAACATATGTTTTGAGCAGCTTTTTGAATTTTAGCGTTTTGAAACAATAAGCTATTACAAAAAATTGATTAACCAAACACTCATATTGGTTGTTTAACCAAGTCAAACAATTAATAGTGAACAAACAAACTAAAATTGACTGATAATATAATTAATTATGTTACCAAATAGAACTTAAATAAAAACATTTATTGTTGCTATTTGTGGTCTTTTATGGTAGTTGATGATGTTTCCTTATTGCATGCCATATAACATAACTTGATATTTGTGGTCTTTTATGGTAGTTAATGTTTCTTTATTGCATGCCATATAACGTAAGAGGGAAAACGTTGGAGAGCTAAGCAAGATTAATAATCATTAACTAACATCAATCAATCAATTTTTAGGAGTTAGATTCAACAACGGTAGTACCAATAATGGCTCCAAATTTAATCGCCTATTACCTATAGGTAAGATAATGAAAGATCAACGGTACATGATTTGGAGTCTTAAGTAGACATCATTATGGTTGAATTCCACAAATTATCATATGATATCGCACTCCTACCCTCTTAAATTTACTACAAATATCATGTTACTGCATATCAGTCACAATGAGATATTGATTGAATTAATTAGTTCACTACAATTAAATTTTTATAATTTTTAATATATCTAAAAACATAATAAGTCTCAATCAAGGTTATATCTCTTATTTATGTCCATGTTGTTAATGCTAATCATTTTGTACATTGTGCTTTTAGAGTTGTACTATATAATTTTTTGGACAAAAATACTCATACCGCTATAACTTCCGTTAAGACTCTCCAGTTGGCATCAATATCCACTAGCTAGGGATGTGAATCCAATCTAATCTAATTTGTTCTACCAATAATGAATTTGGAGAATTGGATCGGATGCGGATTGAAGGGCGGATCCAAAATTTTAAAAATTAATTTATAAAGTTAATACACAATTTAGTCCTCTATTATATTAGTTTTACTTGATTTAGTCGTAAGTGACTTTTCGTGCTTAATTAAGTCCTGAACTTGAATGATTTTATCCAATTAAACCCTTTATTAATAATTCCGTTAATTAACCGTTAGAAGCAGAGTCAACATGGTAATTTCCTCTCCTTCCTAATTTCTCCTTCCTAATTTCCATTCCATCTTATTTTACTCTGCTGTAATTAAAAAAAAAAAAAAAAAACATAAAGTAGCAAGAAAAGTTGTGCAAAAGATCATAGAAAGATAGATACACCAATCGTTATATCCTACACCACGGCGCACATAGCACTGTGCGCCACGCGCCTCCCAAAACGACATCGTTTTGGGGTAGTGTTGGGAGGCGCGGTAGGAAGTTGCTGAGATTATGTGTATTTGTTCACAACGTTATGTGTATTTGTTCACAACGTTATGTGTATTGGTTCATACAGTTATGTGTATTTTTTATACAATTATGTACATTCTTTTTATACAATTATGTACATCCGAATCAGAAAATTTGTGTGTATTATGCTAAGAGTTGATGTGTATTATGTTAAAAGTTTATGTTTATTATGTATTATGTTAGATTATGTGTATTATCTTTTAAAAAGAGTATGTATATTTTGTTATATAATTATGTACATTCATGTATAACATTATGTGTATTCTAGTATAACATTATGTACATTCTTGAACAGCAAGTTTTTTTTTTAAAGAAAGAACTACTGCCATTCACTGGGGCGGGAAATTTCAAAAAAAAAAAAATTAAAACAACGTCGTTTTGCATCTGGGCGCATAGTGCAACGCGCGCCGTGGTGTAGGATATAAATTGCCATAGATACACAGAGAGAGATCGGAGAGAGATGGGTTAGGTTTGTGGGTGGGATTTTATTTTTTGGGCCGTTGTGTAAAAACAAAATGGTCTCAGTGGGAAATGTGAATCAATGCAACGCCAGAAATAAGTCGAGCTTTTTGCCAATTTCCATAAATATTTTATGCAGTGTTGCAAAAATTGCACCTAAACGTTGATTAATCGGTACCTAAACACTAGACAGTCCGTCTCCTAGGCACTTTAAGTGCCTGCCTAGACGGTCTCTAGGCGCTTAGAAGACACTTAGTAATTTTTTCAACATTGATTTTAAGTTATTGCTGATACAATTAAATTATAGTCAAGGAAGAAGATGGAATAGAAATTAGGAAGAATTGGGCAATATGACCAAAAGGGAGGAGTGAGAGAAATTACTATGCTGACCTTGCATCTAACCGTCAATAGATGGAATTACTAACAGAGGTTTTATTATTATTATTATTATTATTATTATTATTATTATTATTATTATTATTATTTTGAGTACTAGCTACTAACAGATTTAATTGGATAAAATTATCAAAGTTTGGGACTTTTAAATTATAATAGCTGGTTACCATTTTATAGTCAAATAAGAAAGTAGTTATTAAAGAATGAGTTAATACCCAAAATCGTCTTTGATTATAGTGGTTTTTTCTCAATTTTGTCCTAAACGACTTTGGTGACTTAATGTAGTCCCATAGTTTTGAGTTTTTACTCAATTTCGTCCCAGACTTTTGTGTTTTTGCTCAATTTAGTCCCGCATTTGTTATTCCGTCCATTTGTTGTTAAATAAATAGACAATTAAGTAATTTTAATATTGGCATCTCTTTATTCATAGACATGTGAAGTACGAAATCCCTCTTTTTTTTACGAATTACTCCTAGAATCACTTCTATAGCTGCGAATATAAAATTTGATTCGTAGGTCTGAAAGTAACTCTGGGTGTAATTCGTGTAAGAAAGAGAGATTTCTCACTTCGCAGATTGAAAGTAAAGAGAGGTCAATATTGATATTATTGAATTGTCCCTTTATTTAACACCAATTTGACGGAATAACAAACGGAGGACTAAATTGAGCGAAACACAAAAGTCTGGGACTATATTAGGTCACAAAAGTCGTTTAGAATGAAATTGAAAAAAGTCACTATAGTCGAGGACAATTTTAGGTATTAACTCATTAAAGAATTGACAGTTGACAAACTAAATATTATACAATTATCCAATGGATTGAGATATATAGGAGTTGATTCAAGGGAGAACTTATCTTAAGAGAGAAGTGCAAACGAATACTTAGTCATTAGTTTGAATGAACCCAACATAAATCCTTATGGGTTCATAATTTTTAGGCAAACTTGACCTATTCATTCATACATTAAAGATGTCAGCAATTTGAGGACTAACAAGTATTTGGCAAATTATTGTGTGGCCATGCGCTCAAAACGATGTCATTTTGATATTTAAAAAAAAACTGTTAGTTAATAATAGCGTCTGTTGTAATTGCTTATGTGTTAAAATAATGAATTTTTTGGAATAAGATAATATATTTTATGAGTTAAAATAATATACTTTATATATTTAGAATAATAAACATTCCAGGGTATGATAATGTATTTTATGAGTTAGAATACTGTACTTTATTTGTTAGAATAATGTATTTTATAAGTTAGAATAATGTAATTTATGTGTTAGAATAATAACCTTCTAGGTAAGATAATGTATTTTATGAATTGAAATAATGTACTTTATGCTTTAGAATAATGTACTCTACGAACTATAAAAATGTATTTTATAAATTAAAATAATATAATTTATGCTTTAGAATAATATCCTTCTCATCATATTGGACCGTGATTCACACAGTTATACAGATCACAGTCCACGCAATAATGCTCCAAAGTATTTCTTTTAGGACCCAAAACTAGGTTGCGAGGTATTTTTAATTAGATTGGGCCATGGTAATCTGGGTTGGTGCAGTTCAAGTTTCAATCTCATTGTGTATATGTTTCTTTATCTGCCATTATTTCTATATTTTCCATAATACATAAAATGCATCCTTAAAAGAGAATTGCTTGGTTCAGAAATGGCACCACCAATACCACGGGTAAACAACGGGGTAAAGAGTTATAATGCACATGAGTCAAATCACACTAAAAGATTGAATCCAATCAATTAGTTATTCTAACTCATGAGTCATGACTTTGTAATTGTTTGTCTTCACAGGAACGAAAAGATTGCTGGAATTATACATACAATTACATGTTTATTTTTTTCTGAACATTTCTGCTTCAACTCAAAATTTTATCCAAAAACATAGATGACTTACAAAAACAACTCAACACAATATTTGCAAAAGACTCTTCACACAAAAGGCTGCTTAGCTTCCTCCTTGTTAAGTTAGAGCTTCACCTGCTTCCCACCTGAAACTTATCAGAACCCGACACTTATATCAGAAGACGACGCTATATATATCATCACACAACATATCCAAGAAAGTGAAGAAATCGAACTCACGGCTTAGACTCGAGAGCTCAGAGGTTTTCAACACGCGCAGCCTCTTCACAGTCGACACAAACATTCTGAAATAAGATATGTTGAAGACATATTGATCAGAACATGTCTGTTTCTTGGATTGTTTGGTGCATACTAAGATGTTTTTTGTGTTGAATCATGAATAAGGACTAAACGGGCGAAATAAAAAGTGCTTACTGCCAATGGACATCATCCCCAACGAGCATCGTGTCCCCTTCATTATCCTCGTAAACCAGGGTATATTCCCCGCTTCCATCTAACAATCCAGTTATCGCTTTCTCTCCCCCTTCAGTTTGAGCTAAAACATAGAGAGGAGGACTCGAATCAGAATACTGTTACTAGAATACAGTTAATCATGATTCGTATATCGAAAACACTTAGGAAACTGTCAAAGTTATGGGAAAGAAACCTGCAAGAAGGCCTTTAAAGAGTTCATTGACAGCAGAAGCAAGTTTTTCGTAGCTGTCATAGGCGCTGAGATCCACTTTTCTTCCAATCGGGATTCCATCCATGTTAATCTTAACAAAGAAACCTTTTTGGCTCCTTTCCATCGGTTTTTCACTCGAAAACTTGTTCGAGACTGCATTTTGTGACTCCGGGATTTGTTTCAGAGAGCTGCTACTTGCAAGATTCTTCCTGAACGAACGAAGTGGCGGCCACCCCACAACTGGAGAAGGAGCAGTCCTTTAGTTCCCCATAGCACAAGAATAGCACAGGGTCAGTATCGTTCGATCAAAATTATTGCTAAATCATCATAATCCAATCCATATATGAAAGAAAACGCATCCACGATTCATTCTTATTTCTCTAGACCAGGGAATCGGATCAACCAAACATCTTTCTGCAATTAGCTAATGCTATTAACTAATCAAACCCACTAACCCAATCAGCTAACGGCTAACAGCTAACAGCTATTTACCAAACACCCAGACTTATAAAACAATTGTGCAAGGACTACCAAGACAGTGAACATAACAAAACAGTGAGAAAAAGAAACCTTTTCTGAGAGGTGTTTGGCACAGCAGGTGGTGAAAATGCCATCTTCTCTGAACTGTTCAAGTCTACACCTTTAGAACACCCAGGTTGTGATGGTTCCTGGGGCCTCACAGGCAAACACTGGCTCTGGCTGGGTGATTGAAGGCCAAGGAAGGATGAGAACTGATGGGGGGGTTGGGCTCCATTAACAGGAGCTTCCAAGAACCCTCTCTTTGCAGAAGCACAGGAGAAATGGGTGAAGGAGAGGTGTGAATGTGAATCATCTCTTCCCCTAACCTTGGACCTATCTTTCACACACCACTCTCCATCTGGTGGACCAAGCCTCAGTTCCAGCTTTTTCTCTTCAGAAACCCCATGGCTTCTCCCTTCAAACAGAACCTTATTGCATTTCTCTTCCTTTCTTGAATATCCCTCCATGTTTTTTTTCCTGACAACACAAAATAAACAAAAAAACCCACTCCACAGAGATCTTTCTGCAGACAGAAAGAAGAAAAAGGCACCAACTTTTCAAGAATTTCACATTGGAAGATCAGAATATTAAAAAAAAAAAAAAAAGATGAGAACTTTACCAATTAAAGCTGAAAGTTATAGACACCCCCATGCCTCAACCTCAAGAACTGTGAAACCCAGACAGTGAAACCTGAATGGAGTGTGACAGACTACAAGATGAAGAGCAAAGACAAGAAGAAACAGGGAAAACTACAAGTGAAGTGTTAGCTAAATAGGATTGTGATCCAAAGCTTTAATTTTAATTTCTCTGGTTTTCTTTATTACAAACTTTCTGTCTTTTTGTTGGGAGTAAAGAAAGGCTGAAAGCAAGGGGATTAAAGATTGGAAGAGATTAGAAGAAGGAGAAAGAATCTGTTTTTGTAAACGGAATTGGAGAAGTTCTCACACAAGACGCAACCCTTGAAATTTGTTGTGATCCGTGGGCAAGGCAGCAAGCGTGCTCTGCTGACTCTCTCTCTGTCTAGAAAAACAGATACCTCATTACTGTGTGTGAGAGAGATAGAGACTAGAGAGAGAAAAGAGACATTAATATACATATAGAATGACAATGACAGAATTCCTGTGATAGTAATTTTTGCGGCAAATGCAAATTTAACATCCCTGACACCTACCTTTTCCGTTTCAATTTGAACAGAATTTGATGGTTCACAAAGTCAAGCACTCAAGCTTCATAGAGTACTTATCTTCTTTTTATTATTTTTTTAATGGGGTTCGAACTCCCACCCTGTCACCTCTCGTTATAACTTGAGGTCAGATGATTACTCAAAATATTAGTCTCGGAGCCGGGGCAAGTACCTACCTCTTCAAACAATAAACTCTTTTTCTATTTACGAATATGGTATTTGGTAAATAACTGTTAGCTGATTGAGTTAGTGATTTTGACTAATTGATAACATTAGCTGATTGTAGAGAAATATTTGACAAATTAGCTATTAGTTGATAGCTGATTACATACAAAATGACTTTCTAAAAAAATTGGTCCAAAAAAAATGTTTTGAGCCGTTGTTTTAATTTTAGTGTTTTGGAGCAATAAGAATTAATCAAACACTCATATTAATTGTTTAACCAAGTCAAACAGCTAATAGTGGTCAAACAAACCAAAATTATTTGACAAGCTAATTACTCCCTCCATCTCATTTTATATGTCTGATTCGATTAATAAGGTTTGACTAAAATTATTTTTAATTTAATTTTTCATAATATTAAGTTTAGTATTAGTATACAAAATTTATATCTTAAGAAACTACACTAAAAGTATTATTAAAGACAAAAAAAATAAATTAAATTTAAAAATAAATAAATAATACTAAATAAAATAAACAAATCAAAAAGAGTTTTAGTTTGTCCAATGAATAATAAGTGTGACAAATAAAATGATGAGTGAGAACCTAAATATATTTAGTTTAGAGTCGAGCTAGGGTGAGATTTTGTCTCAAAGAGTTTTTTCAACCACACAAATCACCTCACGTTTATATAATAATGTGAAAAATGAAATTCAAATGCTTATACTTTTTGATCTATTGACAAAATAACAAGAGGTTATTGAGGGCTAAAAAGTACATAAAATAGATTTTGAGAGAGCTTTAATTTATATTTTAAGGACTTCACTCCCCCATTAATTAGGTTAATTTGGTGTATTTTGAATTGAATTGATTAAAGTTATTAAAACTGAAAACTTATGGTTCAAGTTTTTTCTTCATTTTTTGTGAGGCCACCTACTTTACATCAACTATAATTTATTATTCTTGTATTTAATTTATTTATCAATTCTAGTTTCTAATAATAACTATAATTTATAAGTTAACAAAAACTATCAAATGTATATATATATATATATATATATATATATATATATATATATAACAAATAAAAATGAGATTTTAAATAAATAAAAATTAGTTTTTATATTCTTAACTATTAAAAAATATTACTAAAAAATTAAAATGAATGATTAGAATAAGTTGCTTTAGCCAAATTTTACGGGAAAAACCAAAGAGATAGGGATTGGAGTGGTTGTCGGTTGTCAGTTGGCGATCGCTCCAATGTAATTAACAAGCGTGTGAAATGCACATGCTTGCTTGATGCTATGCGCATCTCTACACGCAGAACTTAAAACGCATCTTGAATTTTCCTAATCACTATATTAGTCCTGGGACCGGGGGCAAGTACCTACCTTTTTATATATATACAATACAATGTTTCTTCTAACAAAAAACTCGTTAAAAAAAGTATAACAAATAAAAATGAGATTTTAAATAAATAAAAATTAGTTTTTTTTTAATATTTTTAACTATTAAAAATATTACTAAAAAATTTAAAATAAATTATTAGAATAGGTTGCTTAAGCCAAATTTTAGGGGGGGGGGGGGGGGAGCAAAGAGATAGGGAGTGGTTGTCGGTGACCGCTCCCATGTAATTAGCAAGCCCGTACACGCTTGCTTGGTGCTATTTGTGTCTCTATACGCAGAACTTAAAATGTATATGAATTTTCCTAATATCTCAATATCTCTTTTCATACACATTTTATTAACGGCGGTGTTGGTCCACCGCTGACTACCCGTTAGTCGTAAAAATAAAAAATATTAAAAATGAAAATAAATTACTAAAGCAACAATAAATTTCTTTGACCGAATTATACACGAAAGAACAAAGAGAAAGGGAGTGATTGCGGTTGGCGAGTATTCCCATGCACATAGCATGCGCGTGAAACGCACACAACGGTTGGTTTTAACTTAAGTATGAGTTTTTCTATTTAATTTTTAAATATATTTTAAATTAAAAATATTACTAAAACTGAAAATAAATGACTATAACAACAATAAATTGCTTTAACCAAATTATACAAGGAAAAAGCAAAGAGAAAATAGAGTAGCAGTGAGCGGTTGGTTACCACTTCCATGTACTTAGCAGGTGCGTGAAACGCATGTGACTACTAGATGCTATGCATATCTGATCTCTACATGTAGAACTTAAAAAAAAAAAAAACTACATGTAGAACTTAAAAAAAAAAAAATAAATAAATAAATAAAAATAAAAAATCTTGCGAAATGGGCTTCAACTTAAACATGAGTTTTCTCTTTCTAAAAAAAATTCATACTCCCATTAAACAACACCTCAATGGAGATTTTTGAATCATCAAAAATCCTCTAAAAATCCCCATTGGGATGCCTATTTGTTAAATTGAAATTTGTTAATTAATCTAATGTGATTATCAAATTAATCAATGATTATATTGCATGGATATATTAGACTAAATAATGAATTGTACAATTCTCTTAGTGGAGGCGCAATTAACTTTATGTGCTTCAGTAGATTGAGAAAGTAGTTATTTACAGATACTGCATTGCATTGTAATAGAGTTAATAATATTCAAAAAAAAAAATGAATTGTACAATTCTTCTTTTAACAAGAAAAGCTCAATATAATTTTCAATTACAAATTACGTGGCATTGACGTGAAAGTAATTACAGTTGATGTAAAATTATTTTTATATACTTTATCTTGAATATTTGAAAAAAAAAGGAAAAATAAATTGTAGTTTAGAGCTGAGTTAGGTTAATTTGATTAGTTTTAAATTGAACTAATTAAACTTTCCTTTTATTTAATTAATTAAATTAATATCAAATTATTTTAGTTATTAAAGCTGAATATTTAAGGGCATCCTTCCTAATCTTTTAAGGCTTTGACATTTCATATCAACATCCACTATATAAAAAAAAAAAAAAAAAAATCAAATAACTACTTTCTAATGATTCAAATTTTTTCTTAGTTTTTTGTGAAACACACTTTACATCAATTATAATTTATTAGTCTTTTACAGTATCTAATTTATTATCGTTTATAGTTTCTAATAATAATTATAATTTAATTAAAACCTTTAATGGATACAAATTATAAATTTAATTATAATAAAGTAAAAGGACTAAATGAGATTCGTAATACATAAAATATAATTTTTTATATTTTTAATGTAAAAAATAGTAAAAAGTACTTAAAAATAAAATGAATGGCTAGAGCAGCAGTCAGTTACTCTGACCAAATCAATGCACACCGTGTGCACATGAAATCACCCCAATGCATGTAGTTAATTAATTTGTCACTTTATCCATAAATTTTTTCAAACTGCGGCTACATCCTATATATTATAAGTGATTTTATGTTAAGATTGATGTTGATTTTGCCTTTAATCCATGCAAGTTGAGTCTAGAAAATGAAATGAAGTTTGTAAATTTATATTAGTTGTAATATATTTAAAGAGTGTGCACAATAAGTATTTTACCTATAGGATCAATAAATGCTACAGTGGTGGCTATATTTGAAATTTCTTCATTTTCTGAATTTGCAAGATTGATTGCAGCATTTTTTTTTTTACACATACAAGGCTTAAAGACCTTTTACAATAACTAACTACAAAAGTTATAAATTTTTACCTTGTATCAACTCTTTGAAAAAACTTGAAATTCAATTGATCTATAACTTCTGATCTGTATAATCAGATTGTAATATACTGTCGAAGATCCCTCACAGATAGGAAGAAGACTGCCCTCTACATATAATATATATATGTAACAAGAGCACCATGCACATATATTTATTTACTGTTTTTAGTCCAACTAGTAGGTTTTGTTGTATCCTTAAAGTCAAACCTACACCTTAAAAGATAACATAGTTGTTGGTGTGTCAATTACCAACATTATAATTTATATTATTAATTATACTAAATTATTTTTAGTAATTTAGACAATCAGAATTCTTTGAAGCTTGCCAAATTTATCAAAGCAAAGACTAATAGGGTTTCTTGCCCACGTGTGGGTATGTTTCTTGTTTAATACCCACTACCCTAACTAGCTACTCTACGTATCATTCAAAATGATATGCATTCATACATGCATCTATCTATTTTCATCAACATCTATCCTTTTTTTTTTTTTTTTTTTTTTGCATTTCTTGACGACAATTTTGGTGTAATTTTTTTTTTTTTTTCATTTAAGAAGACACTTTTCATGAGAGTTAGATGATTGGTGAGTCAACAAAATTGGTAGTAGATGTGTACGTATTTTGGTTAGGTAATTACTTAAAATAAGAAAAAATATTTTAGAAATATATATAAGAAATTTTGGAAGTGAGGGAGAAGTGTTTTGAGTTAGATACACTTTATGTCTTTGTGTCTCAAAATTTCAAAATATAAAAACTGTCAACCAATTAATTGAATACAATTAATTCAATAACAATAATATCTTACATATAATAAAGCTATATGGTTGGGAAATAATTAATATTATAATTAATTACCAACATTATTATTATTACTAGCTATAAATATAAAATAGCCAAAATATCTTTTACTATAAAAAAAAAAAAAAAAAAAAAAGCACAACATTTTTTTGAATGCTCTGTTACATTGTAGTATCTGTTCATATACTTTCTCAACCTATTGAAACACAAAGAACCAATAACACCTCCACCGAGGCTCGAACACACAACCTTCCAGATGGAAGTTCAACCCGGA